GTAAAAAAATCTCTTATATCCAGTCTAAATCTGCCCTCTTTTAGTTTAAAGCCATTGCCCCTTGTCCTATCACAACAGGCCCTGGTAAAGTATGTATTAATAATTAGAATAATTTATATAATATATAATCAATATAATTTGTATCGTATATAAAATACAGCGGCAGTTTGTCCACATTATGCTCTTTTTTAAAGCCCATCTTCTGGAGGGAGTCACTGCAAGGTAGCTTTATGCTACACTGTGTTGACAGATGAGCGCCGGGTGGTTATTACCATTGCCATGGCTTCATTGTTGGCAACCCATTGACCCCTTGTTCCAGTCATCTGTTCTTTCTCATACTGGTTCCAAAGACTAGGGGAAACATGCTGGCTTTGGCGGAACAGGAAGCTACCCTCCCTGCTCCCCAGAAGCAGTGGGTTAAAGCCCTCCTAGATGTTGCCAAAGGCCAGTAGAGGATCCAACTGTCACGGGTCTTTGCCGTGTTTTTTGTAGCACCTCAACTGTATTTGAAAAACATGTTCAAAGACAGAAGCATGAGTAGAAGTCAAGTGAGGATAAATCTCTGCCTTTCTCTGCCCTGGAGCCCTGATGTGCTGTCAAAATGAGAGACAAGTGTTAAGCAACTAAAAGGTGTTTACAGAAAAAAACCCAACTGTTTCCTTCTGACCACAGTGCACCTGCAAGCCTCCACCTTCCTGTAGGTGGAAGAGTGTGGGTTTCCAGGCTGGGTGGCAGAGACCGAGGCTGTGTGCTTACTTCTTGTCCAGCAAGGCTTCACTGCAGGAATTATTTGCAATGTCTGCGTCAGACCTGGTGTTTGATTTTGGTGAGGCATGTGTCTATGTGCCATAAAAAAAACCCTTCTTACCTTTCACACAACAAATGGCTTCTTGGCCTTGTTCCCTCTCCGTCTTGACTTTGGTAATTGGGTTGTTGAGCTTTTGCTGCAGTTGTGAGAAGTCTCTTTTACTTCTTGTGTTAACTTTCTTCCACAACATACTCTGTCTTACCCCAAAAAAAAGCTGTCTATGCCTGTAATTCAAGCAGCTGTTATCTTCTGGCTTCCTAATGTCCTGCTTTGTTATGCAATGTGTTGTCACCAACAGCATCTTCAGATGTAGATGTCACTGTCCTCCTTCGCAAATCTTTTCATCCTCTTTCCTTGCTTCAAGCTTCTTGACCTCAGGTCCAGAGCTCTGTCCTGTCACTCTGCTCTTTAAGTTCTTCCCGTCTGTTTTACTCTCATCTTTGTGCCTTTTCCATTCTTTCATCTCTTTCTGCCTTACCTGACTAAACACCCACCAGTGTCTTTCCCACCTTGAAATTGTTCTTTGGTCCAAAACGGTGTAGGTGGATGACCTGTGTTGTCCAGGCCTGAGCTGCTTTGTCACCTCCTTGGACAGTGCGTGGGTTTGGGGGCCATCTTGGCGCTGAGGCGAGAGAGACATCACTCCATGCCGCAGAAGTCAATCAAAATGAGCAGTATAACCACGTTAGCCAGGCCGCAAGGCAGGGTTGATTTGATTTGGCCCCAGCATCGTGCTGACATCGTTGCATGAGACTCATTTCTGTTTGTCCTGCTGGTGCCACTTGGCACTGTCAACTGTTGCATTGGGCGGACCTGCTGGACGTGGGGGTTTTTTCTGCCAGAGGGTCTTTGTCCTCACCTGGAGATATCTGCTGTGATTCCTTCCACTCCCACAAGTCTTACCTTCTGAATCAATAAACTTGTAAATCCATCATTTCCATTGCTGGTAACAGAATCTGCAAAACACTCTTGGTCTCCAGCTTGAATTTCACAAAGCTACAGTCTTGATGTTCTTCAAGAATGCAACACATTTCCACTTGGTGTTTTAGCATCTAGTGTACTTGTAGGAGCTTAGTGCTCCATGCACGCAACACGCTTTCACAAAGTAAGCTTAGCAGCCTGGCTTTCCCACAAGTTTCACAGGAAACTAAAGGCAACGCCGGGTCTGTTGACAAACAGATCTGTAGACGGTGCTTGGTGTTGGATCCTGACCCTGCGCTGCTCGGCGAGCAGAGGTGGCCTCTGCCCCACGTAGCTGGGATAAGTCTTTAAGCTTTGCGTTGAGTAGCTTTTCCTTAAGCCTTATTTCATACAACTTGAATCACAGGTTTGAGACTTTTTGTCAAGAAGATGGGATTTCTTTCATCTCGTTTGAACTCTAAAGATACTCTCGAATCTTTTCTAGGAAAGACAAGGAGAATTGGTGAATGATTGGGACATTTGCCTGAAATGCTACTTTTCATCGAAAGGTTTTTGGGAAGGTTGTTTTACCTTTTTTTACCTTCTTTCCCTGCAAGAATTTGAAAGGGATTTACGAAGTTGTTTCTTTATAACTAAAAGTTTGTGGTGTTTAAAGGGTTTAGTCAAAACTTAGGGGTGTTGTGTAGTGGGGTTTGTGTATCAGGAGATCTCTTGGTTTTTAAATACCAGGAAAGGTCAGCAGGTCCATGTGTATTTTTCTTCAGGAGCAGAAACTACTCCTGACTCGATTCCTGCAAACTCCGTTGTATCTTTCCTTTTTCTGTTCGGGTGCCACGTCTTTCTAGTAACAGGGAGAAGGAGAGCACAGCCGGAGCCCCTGGGGCTGAGAACCTTGCCAGATGGGTTGTGTGTGTCCACCTCTCCCTTGGAGGAGATGGACTTACGGCTGCTGGGCTGCCATGGCAGCAAAACTGACGGAGCAGAGTTCATGCCTGTGAACACCTTTTCTCTACGCAGCTGCGTGATTTTGAAATGTCATATTAATGCAGTGAGTGACAGGTCTTGTCTTGGAGAATTTCATGCCAAATGCCTGGACCTGTGTTGAACCGCAGTGAAGTTTAGATGTTGGAAGAGTCCACCATGGTGCCATGCATTAGTGAACACAACAGTGGATACCAGTAGTTGGCCTGGTTTCCTGCAGAAAAGGTTCCATGTCACTTTTCTTCAAAAGCTTGCAGGGTACTTTAGAGACACAGATTTGATCTGAAACAGTCCCACTTGCTGTCAGTTGGGTATTTTCAGACTTTTTTTTCCCCTTTCCATTGATTTTTCAAGACCCCTTCCTACAATCGCAATGCTGAAGCTGTGTGTCACCCTGAGCTTGTCTTGCTCTGGCCTCGGACACTTGAGAGTTGGTTTCTTGTTCCCCAGTGTTAAGTGAACTGCCTTCCTGCTTGCCCTCCAGCTACCTCCTGCAGCTGCGGATCTCAAAATGCTTTACAAAGGAGGTAGAAATCATCAGTCCTATTTTGCAGGTACCTGGGGCAACAGCAGCGGAGTGGCTTGTCCCAGACCACCCAGGATGCCCAGTGTCGGTGGCAGGAGGAGGAATAGAGACCTGGTCTTCCAAAGCCCTCATCCTAGTCCTCTCCTCCTCATGAACCCTGCTTCCCATTTTTGGGAATGGATTTTCCCATTTAATCTAGAATGGATTAAGAATTCTCATTCTGACTGCACAAGTCCTTCTTTGACATCTATGGAAAGAAGTCGGCTGTACTGAGGTCGTTTCAGGGAGGTGGAAAGAAAGCGTAACCAAGGAGAGGAGCTCTTGCTAGAGAGTGCTCTGCCAACAGCTCCCTCATCTCTGTTTGTAGGGGCTGTAGCTTTTGTTTCCTTGGTCTCTGTTTATCTCGGAGTTATGTGAGGGACCCCATAAGCAAGTCCTATGTGGATGTCTTCTCTGTGATTGCTGATGGGCAGAACAAGCCACCTGTGGACTTCTACTGTGCTAGAGGATATGGCCACTGTTTAGGAGCAAATTACACATGTAGCTTGAGCTTGAGGAAGAAGTTGTCTGTCTTTTAGTTTTTGGTTTAAACCTGCTGGAAATGTTAGGACTAAATGGAAGTGTGAGTACCTGGGGTGGGACTAGAAAAACACCCAATTTGTGGTAGAGCCTGGTTTAGTCTTACAGCGGGATGGTGAATTTTCGGAGAGGAGCTTTGACCATAGCCGTGGCTATTTCTGTCTTTGGATAAGGCTTAACTGAGCTGGTTGTGATGCCCTGTGTGGCATCTTTTCAGGGTGACTTCCCGGAGGGGAGGTCTTCCAAACAGGCAGAGCCAGAGCTGCCCCTGATGCGACCGGGTGGGAAGAGCCACTGTTGCAGAACGGGCGTCATAGGTATCCTAGGGCTAAATCCCAGCTCGTGGGCTCGCCGCGCCGCTGCAGCACCCAGCTGGGCTGGGCAGGCGGCTCCGTTGGGAATATGTGCTGTAATCCCACCCGGGAGTCGTAGAGTTGCCCAGCTTTCGGGCTCGCAGCCATCCCAACAGCGGGTGCTTCCTCCGCTCCCTAACGCTTGCTGGAGCTGACACCTACTTTCCCCATTCCTGACCCTGGCGGGCACCTCCCACTGCCAGGACCGCGGGCCCCGCAATTCTTACCCACCCCCGAGACACTAAACACCCCCCCCAGGAAAGCTCTGCTAATGCTGTTCATCACGAATCACTCTCCTGCCCGGCCCGCGGCCCCCCCAATTCTTCCCCCCCCCCGAGACACTAAACACCCCCCCCAGGAAAGCTCTGCTAATGCTGTCCATCACGAATAGCTCTAATCCACTCTTTATTCAGTGCCTTGATGAATTTAAGGCTGCACCCTTGCTGGCATCTCCTCCGGCGGAGAGTATCCCGTTAGAGGCGTGACTCCCTGGCTCGGTGTGCCGTGACCTGCTGGGCCATCCCATGTCGTGGGTGTCTGAACCAAATTCAGTACTGGAAGTTTTCGTGGCGCTTGCGAGAAGAAGCCAACTCTTTGGTGTTGGGTGGCTTGCAAATAGACGGTCTGGCCAACGCCCACTCTTACTAATTGCAATTCAGTGCAACGAAATTATTGGACAGATATTAACCATATAATGTTTTGGCAGGGTGCTGGGTGGCAGTCATCATTTCTGCTGTTACAGTATGTTTAAAAAAAAAAAATTAAAAAAAGAAGGACAATAAAGTAGGCTTTTTTGTTGGAAAAGAAGATTTCATGTTATCTGTGTTTGCAGGCTTTCTGGCTCGTATGCTGGAGGAATCCTTGCTGCGGGGGTGTTTTCATTTTCTCGTCTAACATGGCAGTGGTCCATCGCAGCGGAGGTTTTTAGCTTAAACAATCTGTTTGTGGGGCTGCTGATGGCTCTCACCGTGCGTTTTGAGGAGGCATCCACTGCAAAAGAGAGATCAAAGGTAAAACATCTCAAGCGAAGTGAATAGTTCTTTATTTTTTTTTCAATTAGTTAACACACGTCTGTTTCGTTTCCTATTCATTTAACGTTGATTTAGTTGCTCAAATGCAGAAGGCCAAATTTTGGGACTTGGTTCAGCCGCTGTGCTGGGTGGTGTCGATCCCCGTCCTACCTGGATGCTCAGAAGTGCCAAACATTGCAAAACCTGTCCAGTTGGCTTCAGGGTTGAGTTGGGACCTGTTGGCTGGGTCTCAGGTTGGTTGGTTTGATACACACAGGGTGGAAACAGGAGAAGCAAAATCATTTTCGACTGAATTGTTTAGTGCAAAGTTTGGTTTCCTGCATCAAAGACTCAACCTAGGCTATGGGTGTTCAAGTTTTTGTTTTCAGAACCGGTATTTTTCCTTGGGGTAAATAGATATATTTTACAGAAGACTTCATCTAGTCAGAAACTCAGGTTTCTACTGAAAATCACAAACAATGGAATTTTCAATCAGTTTTTCTTTTGAAATTAAATGTGCCCCTAAAATAATGGCATTGTTAAATACAGAGACTTTAAATTTCATGCTGTGTTCTCTGCTTTATAAACAGACTAGGCAGCCACATGATATTTCGACTCAGCAGTCTTGTTCTTGCCACTTCTGTTTGCCTGAACATCTGATCTCTTCTCCTCTCACAGACTTGCCTGCTGTGACTCCTGTAAATTGTGTGAATAAAAGGATTTTTGTCAGGCTAGGCTAGAATTTCAGGAGTCCGCAGTGGTAGTTTACTCAGCTTCGTGAGTTCTCAAATAACATGTTTTATCAGTGGTTATAGAGACCTTGTTTCACCATTGGATTTTTTTTTTCTTTTCTGATGAGTACTGTCCCAAGATCCCTACAACCTGAACTCCACGAAGACGGAGTTGGGTATTTTCCAGCCTGCTTCCACATTTCACGTGCCCAGTTTCCAATGGGATTTTCAAGTGCGATTTTTAGAAGCAGTTAAGGAGCTTGTTTCAATGTTTTTTTGGGTGTCTGGCATCCCATGCCATGAAGAAGCCAGCCTGCCAACAGCAAGCTCACAGAGCTGTTTACAAATTGGACAGTCGTGCAGGCATCTTCAGGGGTGCACTTGGAGTTCATCAATATGCTTGAAAAATTACTGAGATTGTCCTGAGTCCAACAGGGCAGCGTTGAAGCCCACAGATGTTTTTCAGAAGTTATGGCAGGTGGTTCCATGGCAAGGCAGCGTTCAACATTGAATGCTGGGCAGTCAATTAAAAATTACCAGGTGATCCCATCACCGTGCCAAGGCAAGTGTTTGCCTCTCACACGCCATCCTCAGCAGTGACTGAAATAAGCAGGGGTGATACTCTGATGATAGATGGAAGTGCTGCCCTCCTTGGGGATGGCCGTGAAGGTGAGAATAGGTTGTGGGCTCCTGTCCAACAATGTCTGTGGGACTCTGATGGCTTTTTGCCCACCGAGGAGCTGCCCTGGGGCTTGGCGTCAAGTTGTAGTGCAGACCAAGTGGCCAGTGATGGTAGAGGAGGAGGCCAGATCGGAGGAGGAGCAGGGGCCAGTGGGACCAGTCCAGGTTTTATACATGGAGTTGCTCTTGTAGCCTGGTCCTCCTCCGCTGAATGGAGAGGACTAAGCAGTGATGTGATGGTGTTGGGACAGGGCAGAGCATATGGCAGCATGGGGCAGAGAGAGGCTTTCCTTAGCATCAGCCAGGGATGGCTGTGGTACCAGTAACAAACCCATGAACAATCCTCAATGAATACCAGAATTACCCTGCAGTGTGCTGCGTAGTCTGGATACGTTACCCTTTTTATCAGAAAACTCTTTCAAAGATCCTTGAAAATGAGCTTTTTAGACTGATGAAGGATATCACGTTTTATTCAACATGGGCCGGCAATGTGCGCTGGCAGCCCAGAAAACCAACCGTATCCTGGGCTGCATCAAGAGCAGCGTGGGCAGCAGGGTGACGGAGGGGATTCTGCCCCCTTTACTCTGCTCTTGTGAGACCCCACCTGGAGTCCTGTGTCCAGCCTTGGAGCCCCCAACATAGGAAGGACATGGATGTGTTGGAGCGGGGCCAGAGGAGGCCACGGAGATGATCAGAGGGCTGGAGCACCTCTGCTACGAGGACAGGCTGAGGGAGCTGGGGCTGTTCAGCCTGGAGAAGAGAAGGCTGTGGGGTGACCTTAGAGCAGCTGCTGCCCCCTCCCTGGCAGTGCTGAAGGCCAGGTTGGATGGAGCTCTGAGCAACCTGGTCTGGTGGAAGATGTCCCTGCTCATGGCAGGGGGGTTGGAACGAGATGATCTTTAAGGTCCCTTCCAACCCAAACCATTCTGTGATTCTATGATTCTAATTCCCTTGTACAGGAAGTTTGTGTAGCCTTGTCTTCAGCCCTCTGTGCCTGAAGAAGAGTTAAAAATCGTTCCTATTATATAAAATCAGGTCTCTGTACATAATGGCATTATTTTAGGGTGTGGCTTCTGAAAAACTTGCATCATTCGGAGTTAACTGCCGGGCAGTGTCCCCTGTGCAGCAGGCGTTGAGGAATTGGACCCTGGCGCATTGGTGCAGCGTGATGCTGCTACAGAAGATCTCTGCACAGAAGGAGACATAGCCATTTGCCTGGACGCTTCTTAAAGAATGTTTTTGATTAAACAAATGAAATCTCCATGTAAACAATCAAAAATAGCCTGTGTTGTCTGTGTTACAATTGACCGGTGCTCCCCGATGTGTTTGCCTTTCGCCTGTAAGCGTGCTACGGGCTGCACTGAAGCTCCTTTGGTCTCCGGATATTTTTGCAAACTGTAAAGAGTAATTGTGATGTTGGTTTTTTTCCCTTTCAGATCTCTAAAGTTGGTGCCTTTTGCTGTGGGCTCAGTTTGTGCAATCAGCACACGATAGTGCTTTATATCGCTTGTATTGTGCCTTGGGTTCTCTCCCGGCTTTTCAGAAGGACGGTACGTATTTTGCTGACGGGTGCCTCTCTTTTGGTAAGGCAGTGAGTAATTCTTTCCAAGCACTTGTGCCACTTTTCACATGTTGATAAGAAAACAGGGACAGTGAATGGTTTGTCTAAACGAGTCAGTCATAACCCACTGAAGTTACAGTCCATCAGTCGGACACCAGAGCCACAATTTAGGGGCTTTGCTCACGCCAGCGATCTGTGACGTGCTCATGTCTCCTGGCAGAGGAGCGCTCTGCCCCAGCTGCCTGCACATACCCTCTGAGCAACCACGAGACCCATACTTGGAGCTAAAAACTGCTCAGCGCGTAGGAAATAAGAGCACGTTCAAGGACCTACCAGACAGGAAAGCAGATAAATGTCTGTTGGTGAGAAGTCACAGGCGCGGGCAGTCTGTGTGCACTGCTTCTCCTGGCTGATGGCACTGGCTTTCTGATGCCATCAGCTCATCTGGAGATATGTTTCTGTATGTTGATTCTGTGGTGGCAACAAACGAAAGCCATGTCTACTGATTGCAGAGTATCTTGCGGCTGCTGTTGATAGTTGAAGGTGCAGCTGGAGTAAGCAGCATGGCGAGAAGGGTGCAGAGGCTTGTCTCTAGGGGGAAGTCCTCTTCAGCATTTCCCTGGGATGTGCCAGGCTCTGTGGCCTCCAGCTGTGATGCAGCCATGACTTGAGAGTCCTACAAGACATCAGCTCTCAGGTGAAGAGCACCTGGCTTGTGCCAGCTAGAGAAGACCAAAGGAAGGCTGACTTCAGTCAAACAGCAAGCCTCTGATCCAGTCAAATATGTCCATCTCCTACCAGAGATCCATTCTCAAGATGTCCCTCCTTTTACACCTCTTTATTAAACTTTCTCATTGTGTAAGAAAGTGAAAACACCTTTTTGCGTGCCTGGCTTATGAAGGTGACGCGCATCCGTCTGGATGAGGCTCCCGGGTGACGTTCAGGGGCCCTGCAGCTGTTGTTTTCTGTAGGTGGTCTTCTTTGAGTTAGTGCATCAGGCTGGATACAGCTGCGTTGTAGAAACTCTACTTTGTCCTGAAAATGTCTGCACATCTCAATGACACAGATGCTCTGATTGCTTTGCAAGTGGCCCTGAGAAGCCTCCACCTCCTCCTCCCCTCGCTTCCTTTTGCCCCTGTGAAGGTGACAGGCAGGTTTCTGCTGGGCCAGTCCTGCCTGGATTTTTCCACCCTCGACCTGATAAATCCGTCATGGTTCTGAGTAATGGCACAGGGTATAACGACGCCTGGAGTGAAGCGTGCGAGCTGCAGGAGAGAAGATGCAGCTCAGACAAGATTGATCGAAAATCTGTTCAGCGTCTCCAGCAAACCCCTTTCTGACAGTATATTTCCTTTAACACAATGAAGACTTCTGCTAAGTATTTGTGTTCTTTAAACAGAGCTGCTTTTTTTTTATTTTAATGGAGGAGATCCAGAGAGACCTCTGTGATTTCCAACAAGGACGATCTGGTGCCAATATAATATTCCTGGGAAATACTTCAGACAGCCTAGTGGTGCCTGCTGCAGAAAACCACCTAAAAAGAAGGACATTTGATGGAAAACAGTGCCTTTTTAAGTTAAAAAGAGCCAACTTTCTTCTGAAGGAACTGTGGCCACCACCGTTATCAAGCTACTTTTTCTGCTCTGTAGAGCATCCCGCTGAACGGTGCCTCTTCCTTGTAACCCCAACTGCTGGAGAAGTGCTTTGATTGACAGGGCAGCGGCTAACGATAAAGCAAGCGTGCAATATTCTAGGGTGAGATTTTCCAAAGCACTTAACGGAGTTAGGCACAGAAGTCCCTTTGAAAGTCTTGTCTTCCTGACCCCTGAGGCAGTCTTGAAAATCCCACCCCAAAAGTTGGCCTATCCAATTTAACCAGTGTAATCACGATAAAGTAAATGGCAAAACTGACTCCCGATGATGGTGGTGATGAGTGTAGTTGTACTAGAGCAGCGGGTTTTTTTTTTTCTTGCCAGATGGAATACCAGCCAACTCTTAATCGCTGCAAAGTGGGTTATCTCAGCCTTGCAGTGCTTCAGCCATCTATGCATGTCATGCCATGATTTAAATGTGAAAGATGCAATGAGTATGATACTCATGAGTCCTAGTTAATATTATTTGCTTCACTTAAATTTCACCCTGCCATGCAAAGGAGATCAGTTTGATGCAGTTTCCTAGTAATCCACAAAATCGTAAGGTTTAACATAGCATTTGTAGGGACTTACTATAAATTGAGAGATCAGCTCTGTGTAAATATATTTGATGTTTTTTCTTTATCTGTTCTTGAAGTTTCAGCGTGATTAAACTAAAATAAACGTTGTTATGCAATATGACATATTTTGGTGCAGGAATTGTCCCTAGGCCATTTGCTGAAGTTGGGTTTATGCTTCTTGGCTGGTTTGCTGCCTTATCTCTATCTGCCGGCTTCGTCCTACCTCAACCGAGCCCGTTGGACATGGGGAGACCAGACGACTTTTCAAGGATTTTTGACCCACTTTCTCAGGGAAGAATATGGGACATTCAATCTGGTAAATAAGGGTCATTTTCTAAATGACTTTCATACAACTCATGCAATAGCACATTGAGATGATTAATGGCTTGCAGCAGAAGAAATCAAAAATATTTTCTTTTAAAAAAGTTATTTCTAATTTTGACCTTCCGATCTGTCAGGTTTTCTGGGAATGGATCACGAGGCTGGGAAAACAAAGAAATAATTTTCCTTGCCTTTACAGGGTGAGCCATATCATTTACTGGGAGCTGTGCAGGTGTCTTGTAAGAGCTCAAAGAGCAAACTGTGCTAGAGGGAAATGGTGACATCGATTTTGTGTTTTTCTTGGTTTATGACAAATAATTGTCTTATTTTTTTAATTTTAAACTCAGCTATTTAATGAGGTCACTAGCAGTTTTCATGGCTGTACCTTTAAAAAAGATTCCTCCTAACTTACTTCTTACTAATATTGAACTGAAATGAATGGTAGGTTTGAGGGGTCTCGGAAGCCTCTGATTTGAGGTATTGACAGGTCTGTGCTCTTGCCAAGGCAGGGAGGTATTGCATGGTTGCTTGCAGAGTGTTGGGTTTGCATCTGCTTCCTCCAGCCCTGGTTTAGATGTTTGGCTTTGGCCACCCAAGGAAAGCAAGCACCCAGCACCCCTTCTGCCCTTCCTGCCTCAGAGATTTCAGTGCAGAGGGCAGGGAAATCACACCACTGGGGGAAAAAGGAGAAAAAGGTATGGTTGACGTAGCATGTCTCTCCTTGGGGTCTCAAAGCCCCACGTCCTCAGAAATTAAGCCCCTGCATCCAGCCAGTGTGACACAGCGAGCACCGTTGCCATTCCATTACAGCCTTCTAGGAGAGCCATGTGGCTGTAGGAAAGGATAAGATCCACCCTCTGAAGGACTTGTAATATTTCTCCCGTTGTCCTATTCCCAGCCGTCTCCTGAGAATGAGACTCCATTGGGCAGAGCAATACCAAGGCATGCAAATCCCTTAACTCCTTTCTCCATCAAATGTGATGAATTCAAGTTGATGTTCAGGAGGCTTAGGGCTGGACTGCGTGTAATCCTGCACCACAAATCACATTTACGATGAACTTGTCTGAAGCAGGAGCAATAAATGCAGCAAAATCCGATCCTTCGGTCCCAATGCCAGTTGGGCTAATGCCAGAGCCCTGCCTGGATGGACAGACAGCTCTTTCGTCCCAGGGCTCCGTTTTAAGGGCAGGCAGGGTCAGAAAAAAAAACAGATTAAAGACTGGGAAGAGGGTTCCACTTAGAAGCCAAGGTTCAGAAATGTCATCTCCTGTGAGGGATGTGTCTGGGGCCAGAAGCTGTCGGCTGCCAGCAAGGTGGGGCTTTGCAAGGAACGGAGAGGCAGAAGTGGTGCTTCAGGAGCTATGGGCTGGCTCTCCATCCTCTAATGCTTTTATTTTTTAATTAAATCTTGAATGCAATTAACTATTCCATTTTTGTTGAGATTAAATATTTCTTCAAGACCTCCTGGATCCCTTTACCTTATCTTTTATCTGGTAGCCACCACTTTTGCAACTAGCACGTATGAAGGTAATTCCTCGCATCCACTGAGTGCGTCTTCTTTCCCAGACTTGTGCTGTGGATTGCAAGTCTCTGCAATAAAAATTCTCATGTAGCTGATATAAATCTCATACAGCTTTGCCTCTGTCAGGGCAGAGGGGACAGGGATGAGTCTGGTAAGCAAGCAGGAACTGAGGCCCACGTGCTTGTCTTAGGCTGTGGGGAGATGTCCCAGAAAATGATTGCACCATGCAGACATAGGACGAGAGGAAATGGCCTCAGGTTGCACCAGGGGAGGTTTAGACTGGATATTAGGAGAATTTCTTCACTGAAAGGGTTATCAAGCATTGGAACAGGCTGCCCAGGGAAGTGGTGGAGTCACCATCCCTGGAGGTATTTGAAAGACTTGTAGATGTAGTGCTTAGGAACATGGCTTAGTGGGACTTGGCAGCGTTAGGTTTATGGTTGGACTTGATGATCTTAAGGATCTTTTCCAACCTAAATGATTCTGTGATTCTATGATACAGCAGAGATCATAGCTAAACCATATGATGTGCTCGAGTCACAGGGTGATGGGTCCGTAGCACCTTGAAAAAATGCTCTGGGTGGTGAACCCTGCACAGCTGAATAATCATAGAATCATAGAATGGTTTGGGTTGGAAGGGACCTCATAGATCATCCAGTCCCACCCACCTGCCATGAGCAGGGACCCCTTCCACCAGAGCAGGGTGCTCCAAGCCCTATCCCACCTGGCCTTGAGCACTACCAGGGAGGGGGCAGTCACAGCTTCTCTGGGCAACCTGGGCCAGGGCCTCACCACCCTCTTTATATTATAGATGTAGATTAGCTATAAGGAAGAAATAAGACCAATACCAAAATAAGACCAAACCAATAATGTGGGAGAAAATCTTGCAGTGAAGGTTTGAGTAGAGTTTGCTATCTTTTCATTGTTTAAGCAATTCCTGTTCCCTGTGCCCACCTTGGGGTACCGCCTGGAGGGGTTTCGAGGAGCCCTGTGCACTCAGGGCTCTGCAAACACAAAATGAAAAGACTTTTCCTTGCCCCAGTGATACAGCAATCAGCGTGTGGGTTTCTCATGGGTTTTATTTCTTTTTCATCTAGGCCAAGTCCGAGGCAGGATCCAGTATGAGAGAGATGCTGGTGTGAGTAAAATCTTGATGGTGCCGTTTAGTGGGGAGAAACCTGTTGCTGCTGCTGTTGTTTTGGCCAAAGTGGCTCCTGTCCTGCCTTTCCTTGGCTTGGTCCGGAGCTGGAGCTGTGTGTGTCCAGTGCAGGGACAGCATGCGTGTCCATCTGTCCTCCCCATTGAAAGAAAAATGCTGGATCTCCCTCCCCAGTGATTTTTCATTCAAAATCCTGCTGTGTAAACCGAGCTTGTTCCTGCTTCTGGTAGACTTAATCACAACAGAATGGAAATGCGTTATATTGTGCTTATTCCTTGCTTCTCTTGACACTTTAATTGAGTGCATGCAGCCATCTGGGGGTGACACACTAATTTCTCCACAGTTTTCAGCTGGCACAGATGAAGTCGGAGCTCTCCCTTCCTGTCTTGGCCCTGGCGCTCGTGGCCTGTGTGAGCGCAGCGCTGCCGTAAGTTGGGAAAGTCTCCTCCTCTGGAGATATTCGAGACCCGCCTGGACAAGGTCCTGTGCAGCCTGCTGTAGGTGACCCTGCTTTGGCAGGAGGGTTGGACTAGATGACCCACAGAGGTCCCTTCCAACCCTGACCATTCTGTGATTCTGTGAAGTTGCAGGAGGGTGTTTGCTCCAGTATGAATTTCCTTACTGGCTGCATGGGTGGCTTTCTTTGCCATGTGCCACAGGGAGCTGTTCCACTTCCCAGTGCAAAAATTTTAGTAATTGGCTGGGGTGATATATTAATTAAGAGCAAAGTATCCCTGCTCCTGGAAACCCTGTGACTTTGTAGACAGCAGACTTAAAAATCTTGAAATCCTTAAAAATCTCGAAATCCTTAAAAATCTTGAAATCCTCGTGGTTTTGTGCTTTGGATACACAAATTTTATAAATTGCAAAGGTAAAGAAAGGCTCATCGGCTCCTTTTATTGGTTGTCAGCTCCTTGTATTAAATGCACTTAAGTATGCAGAGAGATAGTTGTTTTCAAGCACGTAAAACTTTTGTCTCCTTTCTCATCGTGCCACTAGAGTGCTACGTTATTTTTTTTATAGAACAAAGCAGCAGAAATCACCCGTGATCTGGCTCTTCGCTGGAATGCTCTGTCTTTATTCCCTTTTCTTCGCTTGGAGAGCAAATTTGGATATCACAAAACCTCTGTTTCTGGGCGTGGTAAGCTGCACTCCAAAAATTGCTCTGGGTTGATAACTTTTGGAAGAAGCCTTAGAACTGCCTAGGGAGCAGGTGGTTGTCGTGGAGCTGTGTAAGGTGCAGAAATACAGCTGCTTATTCTGTTTCCTTGTAGCTGGGGAAGGAGAAATCGGGTCTCTGGGGTTTTGTCGCCTAGGTGGAGCGGTTCTGGCTGCAGAGCAGTGCCGTGGTGGCTGTGCTGGCCGGGCTGGGGCTGGCCGCCCTCGCCTCGCTCGGAAGCGCCGTGCTGGCGGGGTGCTGTGTGGTTGGGGTGCTCCTGTAAACCCCCCACCCTTGCTCCTGGGGTTTCTGTCCTTGTCTTGAAGTGGGAGAGGCGCTTTTCACATCCAGTCTAAGCTTGCACAGTCACAACCTGTGGGACTGCCTTGTTTGATCTCCCTCCAAATCACAAAGCACCAACTCCAGGCTGTAGCGCATAGGTTGAATGAAGAAAACTGTAGATACATAAACTTCTAATGAAAGAAACCTGCAGATCTGTGCTTTATTTCCTAAGAAGGTTTGCAGAGTTCATTTGACCTGAACAGTCCCCTTCTCCTTTCCTTGCTTTGCTTCAGGTTTCTTTGTGCCCTGGGGTTTTTCTTATTTTTTTTTTTTTTCCTTTTTGAAGAGTTACCATCTGTAGTGTAGGGCTTTCTTATCCCATAACCAAACCAAAGACTGCGGTGGCTTGGGTAGGCATCAGTGGTGTAGTAGAGATGCTCAAGTAGTGGTTGACCAACTGGTGAAGCGTAGAGCACGCAGAACTTCATACACAGGAATCCTTCCTTTGCACCCATCTTGAGCCAGTCATCGCTCATGGCCTGAGCCATGTCACGGAGCGTCGTCTTCTCAAGTCCGTACCTGGAGGGTGTGCAACATGCAAATGTGTAAAAAAAAAAAAAAAAAAAAAAAAAGGGGTTTAATGTCAGGAAATATAAATCTACTTCTGCCTGATGCTACAAAAAACTTGGCTTTTTAGTGTTGAATTAAAAGTGTTAAAAGGATGGGGAAGATTTCCGTGCTTTACAGAACCATTGTTGTACTGGCACTTCCAGCTCCAACTAGTAATTTTTTTGGTTTAGCCCAAGAAAAAAGTCAGAATTAAGGTGAAGGCATGCAAGGAGTGTGTATTTTGGCAGAACTGTGGTGGCTCATGGCTCTGGTGCTGGTTTCTGGGGGACTGTAGTCTAAATGCTTCATTTCTGTATCTTGGTTTCTCTGTAGATGGAGCAAGATCTGACCAGGGCGAAGAACTTCACCTGTCGATGCCTATTGCATAAAATTGTTCTGAAGATGTGCAAAGCCATGCAAATACCTGTTTTTAAGATACTCTTTTTTTTTTATCTGTTCTCCTAAGTGCTTGTGATCAGAGCAACAACTATGTTGTTGATAAGTTTGCAAGGAACCTGCTGTCCTCTATGCCGACGGGTGCAGTGATCTTGCTACGAGGAGACTTACCTGGGAACGCTCTTCGTTACCTTCATTATTGTGAAGGGATGAGGCCAGATATCACCTTAGTGGACCAGGAGGTAGGTTGAGGCAGCAGGCAGATTTAAAAATAGGAAGCAAAAGTTCAGTTCTTCTTTTCTCTCCTTGAGGGAGTCTCTTTGTTCAAATAAAATGCAGACATAAAATTGACTTTTTTTTAAAGTGTTGTGGGTAGCTCTGGATGGAGCGTGATGTGCAAGCCCCATTCAAGCCCAAAAAGCCAACAGGGAGGCAATAGCAGGTAGAGAGAAGGGCAAGCCCAAGTCCTTCATTACGGCAGATATCCAGATGTGGCACAGGGCTGATGTTTGCCTTGCTGAGGAAGCTTTGTCCCTGCTGTTTTCTGCAGTTGCACTGAAATAAAGATGTTGGGGCAGCAGAAGGGTTCTGGGAGCAGCCTGGAGAGCAGCAGGTCAGCAGCTGCCCCATGGGCGATGCAGCTTTGGGGTTTCTCCCAAGAGCTTTACCATACTAAGGCTCATTCCCTGCATCCCCTGCGTCATCTTGGTCCCCCAAATGTGGTTTTGCAGATGTCTGCCTCCAGTTTTTCACATTGAAATGGAGGTGCTGTGTGTCCCTGGG